TTTTTTTTTGACAGGGGATTGAACTTGGGCCCTTGTGAGGCAGGCAGAGGAACCACTGAGCCAAATCCCCAGCCCTACCTGTTACTCATTTAAAGTGTGATTTCTTTTTCTCTTCTGAGGCAGTTAGGGACTTAAAGGCTGTTTTTCTAAAAAAGAATGACTCTTCACTTAGGCCTACAGATGCTCAACAGATAACTAAAAAGAACAAAGCTTAACTTTCATTTTGTCTTTCATTACTTTAAAATTTTGGGTAAGATTCTTGCTCGGCTCTGCACATAGGTATGTTAATCATTTAAGAAGTATCTGACTACAAGTTGGCAAAACAAGGTTGATTAGACTGAATTAACCTATCTCATCCCACTTCAAGACCCAGACACCAAGGTAAGAGATTGACAGGGACTTTCAACTAACCCTAACTTTTAACCCTAACATACCCAGAAGTCTCAGGTCATTGCTGTAAACCTACAGCCACCTTGGATTCCAGCAGTTTCCACAAAACTGAAACTATCCCAGACAGAAATAATCATCTCGTAAGACTAAAAGGCCCTCTCAAGTGATGAGGACCTCTCCCATAGTCATCTTGCAAACCAGAACTGAGATAATGGTCAACCAGACTCTAGCCCATCCCAGGAAATCTATAAAGTATATAAAATCTGGTCTTGTTCTTTTCTTAATGGACCAGTCTGATCCTCTTCATTGGAGCTATGTCTCTTTCAGCTCAAGCTGAAGTGCCCTATTTTTTCTTACTTTCTGCCTCACACTGACACATCCTGAATTGATTTTCTGTGACAACTGCCTTTCTGCAGGGTGAGCTGAGGTCTCTATCTCCTCTTTGGGGGATTTCCTAAGATTCCATCCCTGAATCTTGTACTGTTTGCCTGTCCTAGCTTAATTTCTCCCTTGCCCTAAACTTGTTACAGGGAAAGGATGCCTGTAAGCCAGAAGTTCTTAGCTGAGACCTAAGATGGCTGTCAGAGTGGTCATCAGACAATCTCTAACTTCATTTTAATTCCATCTGCATGCTAAGTGACATACTCCCCACTACAGTGGTTGATGACTATCACCACATCCACAATAAAGAACCCATAAAAGGAGCAGAAAATGGTGGCTTCCAAACGCCTTGGAAAGGCATGCCTATTCCTACCTCCTCATTTCTTTACCCTGTATGTATAATCTCCCTAACCCTAATGGTTGAGAAGTTGATTTGCAAGTTTTATCTCTTATTCATGGCCAAGAGTAAGTCTCCTTCCCAGCTCAGTTGGGACTCACCGGTATTACTGATTCTACAACTGTGAGAGGGAAAAGTGACCCACCCGGTCTAGGGGAACAGTTACTCTAGGCTGGCTCTGGCAGTGGACTTCTTCCTAGCACATCTAGCCACTTCTACCAGCTCCCAGGAAAAGGTAGTAAGTACCATGGGCCCCTAGCAACTTCTTCACTCCTTTAGTTCGCCACTCTTTTGCTAAACGAATATTTACCAAGCACCTTCTTTTACTAGGCATGTAGTCCTTGTTTTTACGAAGCTCAGATTCCAATGTAGAAATCACTCAAATACAAACAGGCAAATAATTATAAATTATTTGACAGATCCCATTAGGGCTGAAGGAATCTCCCTCAGACAAAATATTAGTATCAGAAAGGATGTGAACAGCTTTAAGACAAGTTATATGTACACGAGGGAGGAAACAAGGGCCGGGGCAACTAGATAGCCAAAATGTGTCAGAAGTCACACAGACCCACAGCTAACCGATTGAACAGAGGTTTCCTAAAAAGAAGACATACACAAGGCGTGGTGGTGCACACCTTTAATCCCAGCACTCAGGAGGCTGAGGCAGGAGGATTGCTGTGAGTTCAAGACCAGCCTGGGCTACACAGTGAGTTCCAGGTCAGTCTCAACTACATAGCGAGACCCTGCTTCAAAAAACCAAAAAAAATAAACCCCCCCAGCAAAAAAAGAGAGAGAAGACAAATGTAAAACACCAGACATAAAACAACTCCAGGCTTACAGCTCCTGAGCACCGTACATGGGACCAATCAGAAAGTGATTTTTCTCAATCTTTCATTTGAATTTGGTGCTATTTACTGGGCTAATCAGAACACACTATTCTCAATTCTTCATTTATATATGGGCATGACCCATCAAAAGACACTGTTCCTTATCCCTCATTTACATCTGGAGAGATTACAAGCAAGTTTTTCCATAGGACAACTTACATCACACATGAGGCCAGGACAATTGTCCCAGTGCCATATTCACATGAGGTGGGAGCCAATCAAGGGGTTTGGATAGTAAAGGCCCCATCCCCCTTATCCTTAGCACCGCTGGGAGTCTTGTACAATATACTTTTTTCTGCCTTCAATAAATTGACACCTTTGTTGTCTTTTCCATGTGTTTTGTCCAATTCCTTGTTCAAGACACCAAGAACCTGAAAAGAACCCCCCCAGGAGCCCTATCTAGTAACACATGGATATAAGATACTATGACTATTGTTATCCCCAATTATTAGTAAATACGTATTCTTTTGGGGGCATCTATGGGATTTTTGCCAAAATTAGATGAAAAGCAAGTCTCAACAAATACCTAAGACTGGATATAATACAGATCACATCCTCTAAAAAATGATTCAATAAAAGTAGCAATCAATTACATAAAGATAGCAAACATTAAATACAAAATTTCTGGGATGTATCTTAAATACAGTATTTAGAAAAAAGTTATAATCTTTAATACATGTACTAGAAATGAATACTGAAATGAGCATTCTACTTAGTAAGTTGGAAAAAATACATATTAAATCCAAAGAAAGTAAAAAGACAATAAATATTATAGTGGCAATTAATGAACTAGTAAAGAAAAAAACAGGTCCATAAACAAGTAGCTCACACTGTAACAGCTGGTTTGGAGGTCCTAGCAGGGGAGCACAGCTACTCATATACCCTGGACTGAGGAAACGGTCCTGCTCTATGGGGGGGGTCGTCCTCTTTGACCGAGCGCACAGCACAGCTTTGGGAGGGGAGGGACACACATGGAGCAGTGAGGAAGGAAGGGGACACCGCCTAGCCAGCCAGATCAGTCAAATCAACCCTGGTGATCAATGGGGTGACAGATGTCACAGCCAGATCACCCTCACATCCACTCATGCTTTGAAAAAAATAATTTAAACAAGCCTCAGGAAGAGGATGCTTTTTAAAAGAGGGAAAGTACAAATGATTCTAGCAATGAAAAAAAGGGGCATGCCTGGAGGTATCTATCACAGAGAGGTTTTGCTACCAGATGGGGTCTGAAGTGTTCATCCAAGAGATGGGGACCTCTGCTTGGCCTCAGTTTTACTTACTTACTTACTTACTTACTTATTTATTTTGGTACCGGGGATTGAACTTGGGTCCTTGCACTTGCGAGACAGGCGGCAGAACCACTGAGCTAAATCGCTGGCCCTGGGCCTCAGTTTAAATTATCAGGAAACACCATGAAGACCTTTATGCTAACAAGTGAACACTATTACAAATACATAACTGACTTGACAAAAAAGAATCTGATGGAATCTAAAATCACTAAAGAAACAGTAGTTTAAAATCTACTGAAAGAGATACATGCTTTAGAATAAGGGGCCAGCAAACTATTGCCCCTATCCCAAATCCTGCTGCCACTGTTTGTTTTCTTTGAGTTAAGAATGGTGTTTCAATTTCAAAATAATGTAATAAATCAAAAGAAGAAAACTATTTTGTAACACAAAAATTATATGAAATTTAAATTTTTTTCTGTTTTCTTTTTTGGTAGCAGAGAACCCAGGGCCTCACAGTTGCTAGGCAGACTGCCAGGCTACGGAGGGGCAGAAAGAGCGGGCAAAGGAAATGTAAAAAGAATTAAGATGTGTAATGTATGTATACCAATTTCCCATGATGAATGTAATCATTTTGCGCTGAAAGTAAATACTAATAAAAGTAAAATAAAAAAAAAATTTAGTGTCCAGAAGTTTTGTTGGAACACACTCCCTCCTAATGTCGTCTGTATTACCTCTGACTACTTTTGTACTATAATGGGAGCCTGAGTAGATATAACAGAGAACCTCTGGCCTAAAAAGCCTAAAAGATTTACTCTCTCTTTATAGAAAAAGTTTGCAAACTTCAGGCCAAGAGCCACAAAATGGGAGGGGAGTGATGGTAAGAGACATAGACTGCATGGATTAAAAAGGAAAGCAAAGTAACTTATTCATGGACAATATAATTGTCCACATAGAAGTCTACAACATATTAGAATTAAGATAATAAACAAAGCAGCTTTTCCTCAGAGAAAAAGATTCTGTTGTATTGGAGATTGAACCCAGGGGGGCCCTCTCACTGAGCTACTTCTCTTTCCCTTTTTTTATTTTTTTGAGAACTGGTTCTTGTTAAATCACTAAGTTATCCAGGTTGGGCTTGAACTTGAGACCCTCCTGCCTCAGCCTACTGGTGCTGGTATTAGAGGCATGTGTCACCACACCCAACTGAGAAATGTGGGATTTTTTTTTCCAAGTATTCCTATATTCCTAGAAAACAAAATGGAATATTAATTTCTACCTAAGACTAGGGATATAGCTCTGAGGTAGAAAACTTACCTAGCATGTTCAGGATCCTGCTTTAATCCTCAGCACTTTCAATAAAAGATACCTAGTTATTGGCCAAACAAAATATATATAATGGTTTCATGGGGAAAATTATT